ATTTTTTTTTTTTTTTCCTGTGCTTGAGAGTTGGAAATAAACAGGAGATATTGGGAGTAGAGAGGTGAAATATGACTTTATGATGTTTATTTAATTTTCATTGGCTTGCTGCTGTAAGCAATATAAAGGTTTTTCATTTGCTCTAGCCATGAGCTGGGTAGTTGGTGGCTGTTGAGGGACAGCTTCCCGTTTTAGCATCGGTGATACAAGGAACGCTGTGCAGACTTGTAACCAGAGATTCGGCCTTTAAAGCCATATTAAACCTTCCTTTTTTTTGGGTTTGCTATTAGGAGACCCACCTTTGCACGAGGTTGTTGTTCTTTTTCTTTAAAAGTTTTAAATCCCTTGTTTTCAAGTGGGTCTCCGCAGCACTCTTCCCGCCCCCTGCACGGGTGCCTCCATCGGCTAACGGAGGCACCCATGCCCGCAGTGGCTGTGTGCAACCATAGACATACAGCCTTGCGGCAGGCCACGCCCCTTCTCTGTGACCAACACTTTGATTGATGGCAGAAGGAGCCTATGGCTCCTCTGCCATCAAATGGTGCTGACATTGTCCTTCCTTCTGGAGGGGGGGCTACGTCTGTTCCCCAAGATCCCTGTGTGTGTTGTAAAGTAGTCACCGCTCCAAACTCGCTCCCGGATGGACTACAATCTCAATACAAATAAGTAAACTAAACATGAAATTGTAGTCCACCCCGGGAGTGAGCTTGGAGCCGTGACTACTTTACAACACACACAGGAACCATGGAGAACAGACCTAGCCCCCCTCCAGAAGGAAGGACAGTGTCAGCACCAATTCAGAGATGATTGGAGGGTCTACAGCCGAGTGATACACAAATAAGAGACATTGTTGTTAATAGTTAATGTACTTGAATTTATTTTTAAGATTTAATTCCTGAGTTTAGTGTCACTTTAATTAGTTTAAAGTGAAACTGTGCTGGAAAGATACTTTGTATATTTGCAAATGGGAGCTTCCATTTCAGAAAGTGTTCCTGCTCTGCCATGCCTTCAGGATCCCTCAATACTAGATCCTGTCCAACCAGATGCATTGCAAATGATGTTGATGGGTGGCCTATGGTTAGGAGTTTTAATTTGTTAGTCAAGTCCATATAAATGTGCCTCTAACACCTCCCTCCCCATAGGGTGACAATGCTGCTGTACAACGGTGGCTCTGTTGCTTACCCACTGAGCCACCATAAGACAAGAAGTGTGTTACTGGCCGGATCGTCAGGTGAAAATAAAGCCTGAAAAAGAAAACAAAAGCAGTCACAACACCTAAGGACTGCTAAGCTGCAATATGTTACATTTTTGGGTTTCGATACGCTTAAAATTCCAACCTCAACCAAAATCTATAGAGTCTCTCTCGGGTTTTATTGCCTTTTCTGTTACCATTAAGGAGATTTGCCCCTCACTTCATGTCATTAGAGGAAATCATGGACAATCTCTCATGCAAGGACACAGACAAAAACAATTTTTTTTTAGTAGAGTGAGAAATGTCTAGGCGTTGTGAAAATGTTCTGTCCATGCCTTCAAAAAAATTGGAGGAGATAAGCTATAGAGGAGTAGGTGAAAATGGTTAGGTTGTCTTGGTTGTTGCAGTTTGAACTCGATTAAAACCTTATTAGACCTCCAAACAGCCCAGTTATTTATTTATTTATTTATGTATTTATTTATTTAATGTATTTGTTTATTTAATGTGTGTGTATATATATATATATATA